GTCTGCTAGAGCCCAGGCTGACAGAGCCCAGGGTATGGAGGGAGACGGGAGAGGAGTGGGGGGGAGAGCAGATCTCCACAGCTGCAACCAGTCCTGGTCCAGCCTGATCTGACTCGATGTGTACGCAGGTTGGCCAGCAAGAGAGAAGGCAAGTCAGCTGCCTTGGACAGGGCTGTGCAGGCTCAGAACCAATGTGTTCATCCTGCTTCGATGGCCTGCTGAGAACCCAGACACACGACATCACTCTACTGTTTAACCCAGGCAATTCTTATGAAGGTGTCAGATCATCTTGGTCTACCTAAGAATCATCCGGGGAGCTGATTAAAATGTAATAGAACAAGCAAAATAACTTAACCTCGCTGCCACTGAGTCGATTCTGATGCAAAGCACCCCTGTAGGGCGGAGCCGGTTTCCCTGTGGGTTTCTGAGAGGGACTCTTTACAGGAGTAGAAAACCAAGCGAGTAACCGCAGACACACGGCCCCTTCCGTAATGGCAGGCATGCTAAAATCAAAGGGGAAGGATGTTGAGGTTCTATGGATTTGGATACAGCTGTGTGGGGCACGTATGTTCCAAGCGGGCTCTGGTGGTGGGATTGGGGTTGAGGCACCTTCTTCAGATTCCCGCAGTTATGGGACAGGCTCCAATAAGAGGTAGCAAGGGGACAGGACATTCCCAAGAAATCTGAGAAGCTGAAAAGGTTGGCAGGTCCTACAGGTTCTGAAAGGGTTCAAAGTCTGAGTAATGTCCTAAGTTTTGAGGCAAAGTCATAAGAGTGGGAAGAACATGAATCTGTCTTTTTGAAAATGCGATCATTTTTTCCCAAAGCCAGAGAGCCTCCCACTCCCACCCCCACTCCCAGGTGTGCTCCTGCTCCTCCCTCCCATCCCCTATCCCCCTTTCCCCAGGGGCCTCAAGAAGAGAAAGGGAGAGAGAGAAAATCGGGAATAACAATCGGTCTGTGTAAGTAAGATCCAAGATTTTTCTGATCTCTGTGCCAAGATAAACGCTTGTTGCCACTGATCTGAAAGAGCCAGCCAGAGTACCAAAGGAATTGATAGACTCATCTGCATGCTTGGAGCAGAGCTTGGATGAAGTCTTCAAGATCGAGGTAAATCCGTCCTTGCTTCTGAAGGACTGAGAGAGAGACAGGTCAGTGTGTCAGGGCCCAAGATGTCCCACCCTTGGCCTACACTGCTGGGAGGCACTCACCATCCTGCCTCTCAGGATGGAAAGCATCCCTCAGGTCCCAGACCTGAGGTCCACCCGCCTGCCAGTGTGTGGACAAGACCCCTTTCCAAGGCCTGAAGTCTCCGAGGCTGCGCTTGCTGTACAGTGCGTGAAAATGAAGCGGCCTCGCTGGCTGCTAGCACTCTTCATCGGGACTTGCACACGGCCTGTGTGCTGGTGTCTTAGACACGTGTTTATTTGTGATCTTTCAAAAACCGGTGGTAACCTTGCTCCGCAAACTTCTAGAGATACACACACCTGTGTAAGCACACACACCTGTAGCCCTGTGTGAGGAGAATACGGTGAGTGCTGTTATCTGATAAACAAAAGGTAGATCAGTACTGAACGCTGTCCTGCTTAATGTGAACACTTCTCAGAGTTCAAATGGAATACAGTGAACCCTCGCCACTTCGCGCTTCGACTGACTAACGCGGCTTCACTCTATCGCAGTGTTTGCGTAACAGTGCATGCTCTGTCATTACTGCCACTGATTGGCTCACACTGTACACGCTTCTGTCTGCATCACTACGTATCGGAGCTACGTATCAGATGCATTTTTGCTTTTGTACAGTGTACTGTAATTGCGATTTTAAAGAAATTTTATCTAAGCCCTATGATGGCTCCTAAACGAGCTGCTTCTTCTAAGCCTTCTGACAATAAAAATAAGCGCCAGAGGAAGATGCTCACCATCCAGGAAAAGGTAAAACTTTTGGATATGATCAAAGATGGCAAGAAAATCGTGGAGGTTGCACGCCATTTCGACTTGAATGAGTCTTCCGTTCGCTCCATCCGTAAAGAGGAAAAAAACATCCGTGCTACGGCTACTTTCACTTTCAACAAGGAAGCAAAGCGCATCGTGACAAGTCTTAATACTGTAAACTAGATGCCATAAATGATATAATAAATAATAAATGATAATTGTAACGTCCAAAATGTTTTACTGTATTTTCCCTTTTTCATTTAATAAATTGGGTAATACGAGTGTAATGGTGACTAAAGGGTGTTTTTTCATGTCCTCTATGCTCTAACTACGAAAATATTTGATTTACAAATAAGGAATCCTACTTCGCGGAATTTCATTTATCACGGTAGGGTCTAGAACCGATTAACCGCGATAAACGAGGGTTCACTGTATACTTGTACATTTCAAAAGGGTACAACAGAACAGAATTTAGAAATATATAGTTTCATATCCATCTATGTGTCCCAAGTCACCCATTTTTCAGAAGAGGAATACTGAGGTCTGGTGAGATGACACAGGCATCCCAAGTTAAACTGCTAGGAACAAGGTTCGAGATGAGGATTGTAGCCTAGCTTGACTCAGGGACTGCCTGTGTCATTGGTACTTGGACTGGCCTGGGTAAATAATGAGACGAGGGCCCTGGGATTGTTTTTTGGGGGGCAGAAGATTTAAGGATTCTGGTGTCTGATTAGAGAGTATCCCCTATGTGGACAAATCTGTAATTGTCTGTTGGTACCTTAGCTACACTGCTATGGAGCCTCTGAGAGGGGAAGAATGGAAGATTTTCTCCTCCCAAATGTTTGAAAATTAAAACCACCACCACCAACAAAAAAGAGCATCTCATTTCATCAGCTTATTTGGAAGCAGCCCTGCTGAGCTCGGAGCTCAAGAGTTTGCTAAAAGGCAAACCAGAGTGAAATCATCTGGGATCCTGTGCTGAGAGCTGTGCCCGTCATCTAGGGCTGCAGTTGGCTTGCCATCTGTCCAGCTTGCATTCAGATGAATAAATACCTGCACTGGGATTGTTTGAAAAGTGATCAACCTCCCCCCCTTTCCTGAAAATTAAAGCAGGAGCCTTTTTAGTTCCTTGAGGATGCCTTCAAGCTCATCAAAGGGGGAGGGGGGATAGGGAAGAGGTGGGTGTGAGAGAGAGAGAAGACAGATTGAATTTCTGTCATCAAGTTAGTAAAAGTCCACATGAAAGAAGTACACCAGCCTGTGTGATCCAAGGATTGCAAATGATATAATCCAAATCTAAAGGAGGGAATAGCACTAGAGCTTAAATTGTGAACATGTGGTTTGCAAAAAGTTCTGGATGATAGTGGAAGCCCAAAACCCATTTACAGGGTCCATATGTGGATTTACCCTCCGGTGAATCCCCTCTGATCGTTGTTTAGGGATGTGAATAGTCCTGTTATCTGACAGAGAGTATTGTGAAGTCTATTATGGCAGACATAGGTCAAACTGTAATGTCATTTGATCTCCCTTTAGGCCCATTTTAAAGCTTTAGACCCATAATAATGTTTTATTTAATAATATGTATTTTTAAAGGTGAAGGGGAAATCCGTGTGGATTAAGTTCCTGGGGAATCCACTCTGGCCATGGACCAAGGATGTGACTGGCCTTGCTATCATGCAGGGTGCATTGGAAAGTAGATGGTGGGGGTGCCATTTGTTTAAAATTCAGCACCTGTCATTTGTTCTTCCTTATGACCCATTTAAATTTGCTCTAGTTCTTAACTTTTTCTATTGAGGCTTTTTATCTGTCCTGTTACTCTTGTTGGTTTTTTGTTTTGTTTTTAATGTTTTTTCTGTATATGAAATCCAGGATAGACAAATCTATGTAGACTAACTGGTTGATGGTCTCTCGGGGTATGGCAGCGGAGGTTGGGGGGAAATAGGGAACTAATAAAGATGAAAGCAAAAATGAAGAAAATGTCCTAAAACTGATTGTGGTGATGACTGTACAAATTTTCCTGATGTGACTGAAGCCACTGAATTGTGGGATATGTGAATTATTTGCCAATAAAACTGTTGGGGGGAGGAGTGAAAAAAATTCTTTGATTCAAGACAGATACTCGTGTGTGTGACAGTTATAGAGATAAGGAGAAACAAAAATAATTTCAATGATGGCAACATATGTACAAATGTGCTTGACACAATGGATGGATGGCTTGCTTGTGGTAAGAGCTGTAAGAGCCCCCAGTAAAATGATTTTTAAAAAAGAATTTCTGTTGCTAGTATAAAAGGCTTTGAATGAAGATGTGCGCTCGCTTGCACTCTCTCTCACACATACACGGATTTCTGTTGCCAAGAAGAAGCCCTTTGAATGAAGACAAACAGATGAGAGACAGACAGAGACCGACACACAGAGACAAAGAGAATGAACTGCTGCCAAGAACAAGCCCTTGGAATCAAAAGCGCACAGAGTCGGTTCAGGACCCAACTCAGGAGCGCGAGCGAAGTTAGAAAGCTGGCAGCCACCGCAGCAGCTCCCCCTCCCCGCGACTTCCAAGGAGCTCAGTACTGAGAACTACCCGGAAGGGGGAAGGATCCCCTTGCCGTTTCGGGTGGGAGAGTACAGAAGATGCCGCCAGTTCCGGGAGACAGACAATTTCAACCAGAGGGTCCCTCGGCGGGGAGCGGCCGACACTCCTCCCCGTGGGGACTCGCGGAGCGCAGTGCGCGGGGACCAGGCGCGCGGACCTTCCTGCTCAGCCGGGATCCCTCCGTGGGGAAGGCACCGGCATGGGAACCCTGCTGTTAACTACGGGGGCGGGGGAAGTCCACAAGGCCATTTAGTGAACCCAAACCGACAACTTCAAGCCCCAAGAAACAACCAGTCCAGAGGATGGCTGGAGCCCCAAAAAGGACAAGACCCCTTCTCCCAGGTAGGGGCGAGACACACCCGGGAAGCGTGGTCCCGAATCCCGTCGCCTGGGAGGGGGGGCACTTTGACTAAAGCAGCGCGACGCCCCGAAAGCAGCCAGTTGCCGGGCCGCGGGCGGCGTCCCCCAGCACCACGCTCACCTGCGATCCCTTGCAGCAGCCCGCAGACGTTGAAGATGCTTTTCTTCATGATGCTCTGCACGCACATGGTGAAGACGGACACCAGGGCCACCGTGCACAGGATGAAGATGCCCAGCGCCAGGAAGATAGCGGTGGCCTGCCAGAAGCCGCTGGCGATCTCGCCGAAGTTCTCGGCGTAGGGCCCGCACAGCGTCTCGCGCTGGAAGTGCTGCACCCCGGGGTTGCGGATGCAGCGGGCGTAGATGCCCAGGGTGGGGTGGTAGGGCTCCCCGGGGCCGCCCGTCTGGTTGTCGGGCCCCGCGGGGCTGCGAGTCGCCTTGGCTTTCCCGATGAGCCAGTCTGCGCTCATGAAGGCAATGAGTTCAGCAAATGCCACCACGATACTCAGCAGGGTCCAGAGCATCGAGCGGCAGGTGACAATGACATGACACATGTTGAGGTTCCAGGTGGCGTCAGGGCGCCGCGGGCTTGATCGGAGGAGCAGGAAAGGCGCCCGAGGCTCGGCCAGCCTCAGAGGAGGAAGTTGGCCGCGCCGATCATCCGCTCACTCAGTCCCGGGGCTGCTCGGCCTTTCTCCGTCGGGCGCCGGGTCTCGAGCAGGCGGCCCGGCGGTCAGCGTGCATACTGACACATGGCGGTGTGGCTTCCCCAGCTGGCCCGCCCCGCGGCTCTCACCTTGGGGAGAGAGAGGAGGAGGGCGGTTAGCCGAGAGCGCAGGCCCCGCCCAGGCAGCGCGGCCAAGAGCACAGCCCCGAGGGCTGAAACCCAAGCGTCGGTGTTTCAACTCCGGCCTTGGGTCACACCTTCCGGGCTGTTCCCGCGGCCGGACCTCTCCTGCCCAGATGCCCTCCCGGGCCTCCCTCAGCCCGGTGCCTGCTCTGGTCGCAGGCAGTCTCCACGCCCCCCCCCCCACGCCCCCAGGTCCTGGTCCGGGGCCAAGGTCCCTGCTGTGCCTGTGCATTTGCTGCTTTTCTTTGTTTCCAATGCTCCCTTCCCACACACTGGGAACCGCGTGTGGCTGTTAAACTTATCTTTAGGGAGCAGGCAGGGCCTGGTGACCATTTCGGCTTGCATCTCCGCACACCCTGAGGTGTACAGGGGGCATTGCTCCAAACTGCTGCCCTCGCAGGGCACCCTGTCCCATCACCTCTTACTTAACGCCCCCCCTCCAACCCCCTCCCCCCACCGGCCAAAACCCCCCCAAACGCACTACCCTTGAGTTGATTCTGACTCAGAGACCCTATAAGGCAGGGTAGAACTGGCCCCCTGTGGGGATCCAAGGTTACGTGTTCAAGGGAGTAGAAAGCCACCTCTTCCTCCAGCAGAATGGCTGGTGGATTGGAACTGCTGACCGTGTGGTTAGCAGCCCAGCAAGTAACCCACTACCCCACCGGGGCTGCTGCTCTGATGGAGCAAGTCAAACAGCAGGGAGGGCTATAGCAGATGGTGACTTCTTTTTTCTTAGTTTGTAAGACTCAAACAAAACACACCTCTCACTGCTGTTGAGCTGATTCTGATGCATTAAGACCAGATAGGACAGGGTGCAAGTAACTCCTTAGGGGAGAGAGAGCCCCATCTTCCACCCTCGATTCGTTAGTGCTCTGTAAACAAAGGTCTGAAACATTTGCACCTAGATAACACCCAAGTTTTATTACCTGGAAATTATAACTAGCAAGACACTAAACACCTGTGGGTACTAACTGGCTTCTTACTTAAATACAAATGCAAAGGAAAACAATCCCATGATAAATAATAAAACAGTGCTACCCCTACTCTCTCATCCATTTCTCAAAAGGTTATTTTTAGACCAACGGCATTAACTATGAAGTCAGGGGAGAGTTCTTAACTTACTCACTTGGGGGAAATTTTTCAAAACCCAGGCATTAATGACCCTTAACTAAGTGTCATTACAACTGAGTTGACTTGTTGACAACAGAAATTTGTCTGGAAGAATGCATCCCTTGAACTGTCCCAATTCATCACCATGTGCCTCTGCCCCCCAGCTTCGACTCACCCCAGGTCTGGAACTCAACATGCCCATTGTTTCTGATTTCACAGAGGAGCATTCTGTTCCCCGGGACAAATGACTTCATCACCAGAGGACTTGCTCACACAGCCCAAACCGCCAGCAGAGAAGCCTGCACCCTGAACAGGCCACCAGGGCCATCAGGCCCGTTTCTGCCACTGCTCCAGGGCAGGGTGAACAGGGCAGCTCAAATCTGCCAGACGGGCACATGGCTCTCTTCTGAAGGACGAGGTGCAGGCTACCAAATGAACTGCAGAGAGCGCCCTGGAATGCTGGGAGCAGGCGTGGGGCAGTGGTTATCTGGGTAGCGGGAGATGGGGAAGTAAGGAAGCCCAATACCAAAGCCTCGCTTGCTTGTTCCTACCCTCGACATCGGAAGGCTGCCTGCTGGGTGGCCAGCCAGCTGCCTCCAATTAAGGTTTGACGCTCGTTACCTCATCAGGCAGGGTCTATCACATCGCTCTAGTATACAAGATGATATTGAAGAGAATTAGCAGGCATAATACTAAGGCACAGGGTGTTTGTGTGTGCAGTACTGTAAAGGAGAGATGGGGTGTGCTGCTACATGAGAGTTAGATTCCATCGGACTCGGGTTCCAAATCCAGCCATGTGGATCTCTAACATCTCTGAGCTCCACCTTCCTCTCTCCCACATGGGGATAGTTCTCATACCCCTGACACCAGCTTACAGCTGTAAGGAATAAGCAAGAAGCCGTTAAAGTATCCAGCACAGCCACCAGTAGAGTGTGAACTCCTTTCCCTCCCCTCAATGATGCTGGCCGGATAACGATTTCCACAATGCAGGTGATCAGTAGTCGATCGTAGAAACCTGGTCATTACAGACACAAGACTCAGTTCAAGCTCTTCAGGGACAGGTGGATCTTGTCTCTAAGCTTCCCTGGTGGCTTCAAAGGCAGGGTCCTGGTCCTTTGGTCTTCCCACTGCCTAGCTTAACTGCCAACTCAACTGGTGAAAAGAAATTATCGTTAGGCCAGAAAGCTCTTTCTTTCTCACTCACTCACTCAACCTCCCCTCTTAATTTTGTTGGGAGAAGCCTTTTGGGAAAGAAGCGATCAATTCGGAAAAGCTGTGAATGGGATTGCTCAGCCTGACCGTGATCATTCTGAATGAGAATGAAATAATAGAGGGCAGTGTCTCTGGGGAGGCCCCAGAGGTTACACCTGCCCACCAGGTTCACAGAGACTCTGAACCCGCAAGTGGAGAGCCTAGTCCACTACACATCTATAAAAGCCTGGTCTCTCTGCAATCTTCTCCCTCTTTTGTTAGTGGCAATTAAAGGGGAAAATTTTTGTTTGTGGTTAGTTACACACACATACACACGTTTTTTTAAGTTTGTGGGACAGTGGAATTAAAATAATACAAATTTCCCACGAACTTTTCAGAACCCCTTCGTATATGCAAGGAGATAAAAATTCCATTCTCTTTTCATTCCCTTTGTCTACAAACTTTTTTAAAGGCCCTTCCCTCCTTTTCTGTGTGTAACAAAACATTTGCCTCTAAAACATTTCTCACACATCCAATTCAGTGACATTCAGTATAGTCCTCAGGCTGGGCAACCACCATTTCTCGACATTTCCAAAATTTCCCATCAACCTTGACATCCTAACAGAGTCTCTAAGCAGTATCTCCCTTTCCTCCTCCATCCTGCCAACCAAGTCTGGTTTCTGCACGAAACCCCACATCCAATGCCATTGAGTCGATCCCAACTCCCGTCAGTGCCTGAGCGGTACAAAGGATTTGAGCTTCATTGTTAACCTAGCGGACTTGGCATCTATCTCCTTAAAGACTATAGCTAAGAAAGCCCCATGGAATTCTATTCTGTAACACATGGGGCCCCATGAGTTCATTTCTATACATTTGCCTATTCTAGATATTTCATAAAAGGGGGTCCATACAACGAAGGGTTCCAAAGTTTGTGAAACTGTTCCATGCCATTGTGTTTTCATTCCATACTTCCCTCATCTGGGTTCCACGCAACAGAAAATCATACAAAATCAAGACGGAATACAAACGACCCCACAGCAATGATGTATCCGGACTTGTTAATGGCAATATAAAACTATTTTTGTCCTCTTGAAGAACCGGAGGGCCCCGCTGCAGTTTCTCAGGCGATGGATTACTCGCTGAAGGGCTATACCAAGTGGCCCCTGTCCTGGCCAGCATGCACTGCTGACTTGGGAGAGCAGTTAGACTGCAGGGTCTGAAGGGAAAGGGTATGAAACTTCAGGAGGAAGAAGATGGGACGTCTGTGCTTAGTCACTGTAGCCAAGAACTCACCAACGGGCTAAACTGAAGGCAGGACTATGCAGCTGCTAGTGTCCTGGTGGCGTGGTGGATAATGCCTTGGGCTGCTAAGCGCAAAGTCAGCAGTTCAAAATCACCAGCTACTCTGTGGGGTAAAGATGAGGCTTTCTACTGCAAAGAGTTATAGATGCTGACACCCACAGAGGCAACTCTACTCGGTTCTAGCAAGTTGCTAGGAGTTGTTGTTTTAAATTTAGGGACCCATGAAGTAGAATTCGATCTTCCCATCCTGTGCACCACATTTCCATGTCCACATCAAAGTAGCTTGTGTGAGGCTGTTGGCCTTCTCTGTTTTAAACAGGGACATTCGATGTTTTGGTCCCCCCACTCCCCAAGTTCATGAATTGCTACTAAAGAAGGAACGGTCACTGTGAGCAAGGAAAACTCCAAGGAAAGTCCTCAGGTTCTTAGGGCAAGGAAAACCCCAGAAAAACACAAGATCAGTCTAGAATGCTTTGTGGTCTGTACGGTGTCACATTTTGGCCATGTGCACCTGCAAAGGGAAAGGCAGGTACTTGCTAAGAGGACACCTGCATCAAGTGGAAAGCCACCCTCACCAACTGCACAGCACCAGCACAGCGGCTCAACAGGAGCACTGGTTCCTGCGGACAGTAAGTCTCACTGCTGCGAGGCTCACTACTAAACCCAGGTCTTGGACAACCACGGGAGCCCTGGTAGCGTAGTGGTAACACAGTGGTGGTTGCTAACTACAAGGCCAGTGGTTCAAATCCACTAGTTGCTCAGGCGGGGTGGGGGTTGGGGGCAGGGGAGGGGGGAAAGAGGCTTTCTGCTCTGGTAAAGATGTATAGCCTTGGAAACTCTGAACTATTCTACTCTGTCCTTCACTCAACCCACTCCCTGCCATCAAGTCGATTTGATGCATAGTGACCCCACAGGAGAAAGGGGAGCGCCCTTGTGGGTTTCCCAGGCTGTCATCTTAAGAGAGCGCAAAGCCTCCTCTTTCTTCCAAGGAGCAGCTGGTAGTTTCGAATTGCTGACCTTGTGGTTAGTAATCCAACTCGTGCCCCACTTGTAACCCTATGGTTCTGCCTTCTAGAGACCACCTTGATGGCAGTGGGTTTTGGTGGGCTGGATGACTACAGTAAATGCCGTCACACACAGCTGTGCAACAGCAGGAAAAACTAACAATACCGTGTGAGATGAGGCCCGGGGAACGAACTGTGTCAGATAGGTGAGGGAGACGGCACCGGAGTCCACCTGTATACAAACAGAGGTACCTCCGCCACTTCCTCCCCAGAAGACAACACTAGGCAAGCCTGGTGAGAATGGGTTCCAGAAAATGTAGGGCAAAGTTCAAAGCAGAA